GATGATTCCATCTAAGACTCTGAACTGTACTTTAAAGGCCTTCACCCTAGCAGTCGGAGACTTGAAAGGAAGGGAAGGGTGATTCCCGGAATTTTTGAAATGGCATACCTTCAAGCCCGGATATCGATGAATAAGAAGCCTTGTATTCAGCCATAGAATAGAAAGAAAGCTGTATTATCGTTCAACCCCAGTCATTCAAGAGTTTCAGTCTTATTTGCAACTTAAACACGTCGAGGCTTTTTTAGTTTCAAGCCAATGATTCACTTGAAATAGCTAGCAAATGGGACCTTAAGCTAAACCACTTGAGGAACAACAAGGCGTGAGGGAGTCCGATAGCGGAGAAAACTATACCAAATATGGAAATTGGGACGGGGCCCGTCCAATTTTAGAAGGACGGGTACCCGTCCGCCTATTGACCGCCGCTGGCACGGGCCTAGATGGAAATGCGGCGCATTTCTAGTCTTCATTCTTGGGTAGGGTAGAGTTTTTTGATGGCCCGGAAGGCAGCCGCGGCGCCGGTGTAAGGAGATTCACGATTGCAGTGGCCAGCTCGTCCAGCTCGGATAGGTTCGAGTCGACCGTGGGAAGCCAAGCGGCGCCTAGCTCTACAAGCTCAGCGAATCGTTTGACCTCGTCTTCTGTCGTTACACGGATCCGACCTGGTTGTTTCCGGGCTAGCCTAAGGTCAGGGAGGGTCAAACTGAGTGTGAAATAGTCAGAGCTGACAAAGTCCAGGTAGATTCTCTTTATACCACGGCCATAAGATTTCAAGAGACCATTTTCGCAGACGTCGCAGACCAGCGATGACTTGGAGCACGCCAATAACAGAGCTGGTATTTCCAAACTCAACACTGCAAAGAACAGTCTATCCCAACAAATTAGCACCATATTCGTTTGAACGTAATCATCTCCACATACTGTTATAGCTTGGGACCTCGTCGTGATAACAAGTGACCAAATATGACCCTGTACCACAACGCCTGGTAAGAATTCGAGCTTATTTGTGGCCACTGAGCCAGTCCTGGATATTAAAAACTCCCACTGAGCGGCATGCCAAATCCCCATCTGCTGCTCCCCTTTTGCCGTGTTACCACCGTAACGCTTAGTTTCGATGCTAAAGGCGAGTGGGTACTGTTGCAGCAGTCTGTCGGACGTCCAATTGAAGCAGGGCGCCATAACGTCAGATGGGGCATGGAAGGTAGGATCACGTTCTGGTATGAAACGTAGGACGTAGTCAACCCGGCTTGCTGTGTCGGGGAATCTATGATATGCTGAGTCGACGTTTGTCGTCGTGCTGCAGGGTTCCAAGGTCAGTGGTGGATGAGGTATGGATGAAGTCCCAGCTTAAACATACCAAGATATGAAGTCAAGAAGTTCTTGATTTGTACAGCTGTACATATCGCGAGCAAACAGTTCGAGCAGAGGAGTATGCACCATGTTGTTCCACGCCGACTCGTCGCTAAGCATCTGGGAGCATTGGCCAGACCGATCAGCGATGCGCAAAGCACGACGAAGGACTTCCCTAGCTGACGCCCAATCAAGTGATTCATCGAGGTCCTTGATACTATTGGTATCTTCAAAGAACATAAAGCCGTGCAGTCGATCAAGTGGCGCGGTGTTCTTGAGATGCTGATCTAGAGCTGCCTTCATGCTTTGCGGAATAATGCTGAAGCCTCTGGATATATCATTGATATCTTGGATTAATTCAGAAAGGGACGAAGGCAAGGACTGCCGCGGTGCTGTCGTGCTGAGTGCGTCTCTAATTAATCTTTGGCCCTCTGGCCCGTACATAGGAAATAGTTTGGTCGGTGACTGCGACCGTTTTGAGCGTTTGCTGTCGCGTGACACGGAGGCATCACTTCGCGAAGCAAAACTCGAAGCATTGCTTCT